ACTGTAAATTTCATTTTATTCAGGGCAGTTTTTAAAAATTTGGGGTAAATAGTAGCAATATTGGTGATTAGCTAAGTGATTGATATTTGAATTCCTATATTTGTTCATTTCTGTTATGCCTCTTCAAAAGGCCCGTGTGTGTGTGTGCGTGCGTGTGTGCGTGCGTGTGTGTGCGCACGTGCGCGCATGTGTGATGAAAGACTCAACACTCATTTAAGATACTCTAAGCTAGAAGCAAGCAAGTAACCATGTCCTCTGAAGTACCATAGACCTGGGTCAAATTCTAGTTTCCTTAGCTGTATGACCAACCTCTTGGCGTCTCAGTTTCCTTTTTCTGCACAGTGGGATAAGTACCTAATTCCTGGGTTGCTGTGCAGTTATGAGTGAAGGAAGAGAAATCCTCATTCTCCCGAAAAGCTTTGCTTTCCAGGGTTATTGGTGACATTGAATTAAACTAATGGATAAGTCAGAGAATAGATTGTAAAGGGGTTTTAATAATAGAGTCAAAAAATTCGAATTCTGATAACAATATAGATTAGGATAGAATCTACAAATTGTTTTGAAATTTAAAGCAATGAAATTTCCATTTAGAAGCTGTGCATGATGTATTGATATGAATTTTCTTATGAGATCTATTCCAGAATTTTCAAATTTGGGAACAGTATCTCTAGTAATAAAGCAAATTTTCTTTGTGAAGACATCTGTAAAATATGATTGAGCAACTTAAGTGTAATTTAAAATCTCCCTTCATATTAAGGTTTTACAGTAGTAATAGTCCAAAGAGTTTATATTTAATGTAATTGTTGAATCCTGGCAGTTTATTAACTCATTGACACAACTGTCCTGTTAACACATTTGTGATTTCCAAATCATAGAATTAGATATTCTATACAGAAAAAAGATATAATTTCTTTCTATTAAACTTCCTGAAAGAGAGCTTTGTTTTTACTTTCTGTGTAATACTTAGAATTAGATTCTTTATATCTAGTATCTAATTTGTTATAGTAGCTTAAGTAAAACTAAATATATAAAATAGATGAAATCCAACAAAATGGGCCGCTTATGTGCTCTTAGAATGGGAAATTTTATTTCTCCTGAATGACATAAGAAATAGTATTTCTATGTTCAGAAATAGCTAGTTTCTCCTAACTGGCAGATTAATCTTGGGCTGCTGACTTCACATATTTTAAAGCCCTCATCCCTTTGGGGTTTACAGATGGGGAAAAGTTAGAATTAACTTGTAAGATTGTGGCTTTATATTGCCAAAAATTATCTGGTTTCTCAAATAAGTTTCCAGCCGAAAAATCAGGCAGATCATTTCCTCAACATCTTCTGAAATTATGCTATATGATAGTTTTCCCCGTTAGATGTAATCTTTCCATTGCTTTTGAATAAACAGTCAGAAATAAGAGTCGTGATTTGTAAGCTTGTTAAAGAGAATTTTATTTTTGGTGGTCACGGCTGTCCTACTGAACTCTCAAAAATTCTGAGCCTTTTTTTTTTTCTTTTAAAGAATCACCAGGCCCCGCTTTCACGGCCTATATTTGTACTGAAAGGATCAAGGGAACGTTTGCCCTTCTGCTGCACTCAAGGTTTCTGTCTTCCCTGAACTCACCTTAGGATACCTGGATTCCCGTTTGACAGGTGTACCGTCCCAAATTCTGAGGCTTTTGCATTACTAGCTATACTAGATTTCATCTTAAAAAAAAATCACAATTCTCTGAAAAAAATCGGTAATCATTTTCCCAAACAATGCAGGCATACAAATTCAGAGTGATTGCTGAGGGTACACAGACTTCCAAAGCCCATCTGAATAGAGGTTGGGAGATGTCATAAGAGCAGAATTTCCATTTCAAAAATAAAGATGTAAAACAGTGGCAAATAAATCAGTGTTGGTGCAAATCTGAAGTTTGTCCCACACTTAACGTTCATTCAACATGTACTTACTGAGCGCCTACTGTGTTCTGAGGGTTCCAGCAGTGAACAAGGCAGAGAAGGGCATTGAGATCACCCAGCTCATATTCTGAGGGGATGTTGATTGTTAAGGTGAAACAGGTCTTGACCCTCAGGATTAATTCTTGCTGGTGCCTGTAAATCTAACCAGACTTTTTCTTCAGAAACCGGAGATGATTTTGATTAATTGACCTGACAGTGCATGGCACATCATATTTACTTGAAAAAATTTAATAACCTCAGAGACTCCCAAAGGAAGCATGAAAATTTCCACATACTATTATCCTAATGGGATCGTAGTAAGAGAATGTGCAAGCAGAGATCTAGGGTCTTCTTGGGCAGAGGAAGCTTTTGGTCAGTCTTTAAATGCTATTGAGTGTTTCACCTGAATTCACTTTGGAAAGAAAGCTTAGATACTGGAAACGTGGAAGGAAAATATTCTATGGAAATTTATTGTCTTCTTAGGGGAATAAGTAATTTGTTTCTTAGGGACCATATCGTTCACAATTTAAAAATATATATGTGGGAGTGACTTTTTCAGTTAATTGTTGTAGATGTATTTTATAGAGTTGAACATTTTGAGAGTGGCAAGAATTAATCTAGAATATTCTATAGAGGTGGTTCTTAGTGTTGTCTGAGGTCAGTAGAATCAGCATCAATCACCTGGGAATGTGTTAGACATGCAAACTCTTGGAGTCCAGGTCAGACCTGCTGAGTCGAAACTATGGAAGGGGAGCCACCAGTCTATGTTTTAGTAAGCCCTCCAGGTGATTCTAATATTCCTAAAAAGTTTATGAAACACTGTGCTATGACTCGGCACAAATTATCATTCATTTAGTTTAGCTTACATTTATCAATCATATATGTATATAAGCTGCATTGGGAGCTTTTGGAGTTTATAATGGAAGGCATGGCATATTTTTTAGCATGTGAATAGTCCTTTACTACTATAGCAAGAGAAAGTCTATTTTTTTTCTTTAAGTTAATGCTAAAATATCCTAACACAATATTTATGTTAAATGAAATATTTTATATTAAATTAATTGAAAAATCAAAAATAATATCTAACACACATTAAATGCATTATAGATTATACTTTTGTTTGTATGCACATGTATTTGTTTTCAGATATATTTAAAACAAATTTATCACGTACACTATTAATTCACTCTATTGCCTCTTAGTTTCATAATGTTCAGATGTGAATCGTATGGAAGTATTAAAATGTTAGAAAACTGAAAATCACATTTATGGGTTTATTTTGGATGTGTATCATTTTGGGCAGTTTAAAATTTCTACTGAAATAGAATGAAATTTTAGATTTCTGTAGGGCAGAGTTAGGTTGGAGTTTAAGATAAAAGAGAATTAGAAGGTTAGGACTTACGTATTTCACATTGCTTCTACTGCCACCTGCATTTCCGCAGGTTCTACCAGCCTGAGGGTGCAAATGAGTTAGCGTGACATTGACATTAATAATCTACAATTTTCTGGCTTACTATCGCGTTTGCTGACAGTAACCTCAGCCGCTTCTTTATAGGATCCCTTAGTTATTTGGGAGAATTTTCAGAGTATATTTAGATGTGTTCAAGAGCCAGGCTGCTCTGGTTCCCCGTCTAGGTTCAGGGTCTGTGGCCTGATAACCCTTGGGCAGACCTTTGCCCACTACCCCAGTACCTGGGGCTCTGGAGAGTACTGCTCTGCCTGCCCAGAGCCCTGGTCCGATGCATTCTCCCCCCACAAGGCAGAACCCTCTCTAGCAACTTTGCTCTATTACTATCATGATTGCTCTGTTACTCCTTTGGGATCCCTAATGCATTCCTAACAGAAACAGGGAAAATGCCTGCTCCACCCCTGCCCTCATCAAATTCTGGCCTGGAAATGGAACGCCTTGTGCCCAAGCCTTGCTAGTCACAGCCACAGATGAAGACCCTATTCTTACAGGAGTGCTAACCGTATGGTATCATTAATGTAATTTCTAATTTCCCAGTTCCTGTTTCTCTTGCCCATGTACCTGCCCACTCAATTTTGAAGTTCCCTTCCACATACGAACACAGGCAAATACACACAAGCTTTGTGTGTGTTAGGCCACCACAGGGTAGCTTCAGGGGCATTTGTCCTATGCAGTTGCTCAGGGCCACACACTCAGAATCGCTCTGGACTTGGGTTAATAATCTGATGTTGCCTTCTTGGAGCTCGTTTTATATATATATATTTTACGAAAGGGACTGTACATGTTTTTTGCACTGAGTTTCTTAAATAAAACAGCTGTTCTGGACAGATGCCCATCTACTCAGCAGAGACCCAGACTCTAAACTTCTGTTTAGAGACAGTTCACTAGACAATGCCTGCTTCTTCTCAGGTCAGTTCTAGAGATTGACATTTTAATAGTACATACATTTTCCTTAAAGTATTTCCCGTTATCTAATAATGATATACTAAATTTAAATATAATTTTTATGAACAGTAGAGTCTATAAATATATAAGAATCCAGCAATAGTTTACTGTTACTGGCTTCTTAGGTACTAAGTCAAGTTTGGAATATTTTTAAAAATCACACTTCACAGATTTCCTAGTGTAAAGGCTGGTGAAAATTTATCAGAAACAAAACTAAATGTGATTCATTCATTAGACATGATGGAAGCGTCTAGTAAGTAGTAAGCATTGGATCATACAAATGAAATAAGTCCTGTCCCTGTTTTCTAAGAGCTCATAATTGGCTTAGAATGACTGATGCTGTGAGCAATTATTTCTGCCTAGGGGTCAGAAAGATAGAGCAGGGGAAGAGATTAAATATTATTTAATGATACAGGACTGCATGGGGGTACTTGGTGTCCATGGAAGACATTGGGAATGCATTGTAGACTAAGATTGGAATTGCTATGTGTTGGTCAGACTTCTTTTTTTGATCCACATTTATTTTATTTGAGGCATAGGGACCACTGTAATGAGGTCTTGCAGTCGGGGAGAGAACTTGGATTCAATCTTAGTTTTTGTTTTTGTTTTTTAATTCACATTTTATCATTTTTTTTTTCTTCTGTACTTTTAGCTTCAGCACCCCAGTCAGATGAAGGCTCTGATATTGACTCTGAACCAGATTTACCACTAAAGAGGAAACAGCGCAGAAGCCGAACCACCTTCACAGCAGAACAGCTTGAAGAACTGGAGCGTGCTTTTGAGAGAACTCATTACCCTGACATTTATACCAGGGAGGAACTGGCCCAGAGGGCGAAGCTCACAGAGGCCCGCGTACAGGTATTGATGCCCAAAGCTCCGTGTCCTTCTTCAGTCCAGACAGGAAACAAATAAGTATCTTCTCATCTAAAGCATATTTCAAGCCCCACCAAAAATATAGTAGGAGTGGCCCTTTACTAGGGATGCATATTGTTAAGACTCTGACTGTTATTACTGACAGAATGCAACTCTGTCATTTATGTCATGCAGTAGTTCACCACTTCACGTTACTTATTCAACATTTCAGGAACCCTTATTATACACCAGGCACTATATGGACTTTGGGGCTGATACAAAAGTAAGAGCAAATAATTTTAGGTGGTTACTCTGTCCCAGCCACTATTTTAGGTGCTTCACATAAATTAACCCAATAAATCATTATTAAAACCCTAGGTGAGTGCTATGATTGCTACTCTCCATTTACAAATAAGGGAACTGGGACTTGGACTGTATAAGTAACTACCCAGGGTGGTATAGCTGCAAAGTGAGTATAGAGATAATTGGATCCTATACACTTCCTCTCTGTGACCTTTCAGTTATGAAAATGTGCAAAGGTGTATAATGTAAAATTCCTTCCTTTAAGGATTTATAATTAAGAAGCATTTCAAGTAATTGTATTACTTAAAGAACATGTTGAATTATCTTCTGAACTCTTGGAGGTGCTCTGAGCCTTCTGGAAAAAGCTACTAAGATATAATATGTTTCTATTGAGTATAGAATAATGTTGTCATCATTAATGAGGAATGTCCCCCTGGAATCAGTAAAACACCATTTGAAAGATGGCAGACTTCTTAGGGTATCCTGGAACTCCTCACCCCAGAATTTACCTTGTCTGCAGATACTGTGTATTATTTCCAGATACTTCAGTTGCAGGCTGGGGACTCAGCAGTGAACTGGTCAGTTGACATGGTCCCTAGATTGATCAACGCTTTCATAGATGCAGCTAATTAACTCTCCTATTACAACATTTTTCAGAAATAGCCTCTTGCAATCTGCAGAGCCCAGTCAGAGAGACTGTTTTATTCAAATTTTATATGATCATCATAATGCTAGGAAAGTCAAGGAATGCTAAGATCAATTAAGACAGTTCTCTCAAGGACCTGCCATCTAAGAAAGCTAAAAAAGTAAACATACAAATAATTTAAAAATAACAAGAGTTGTGATAAGTGCAGAAAGAGAAAAAGTGCAATGGGAGTTGAGAAGAGGAAAGGATGAGATCTTTTTATTTTATTATATTTTTATTATACTTTAAGTCCTGGGATACATGTACAGAACATGCAGGTTTGTAACACAGGTATACATGTGCCATGGTTGTTCATTGCACCCATCAACCTGCCATCTACATTAGGTATTTCTTCTAATGCTATCCTTCCCTTGAGAAGGTATGGTGTTTAGTTTTCTGTTCCTGTGTTAGTTTGCTGAAGAATGATGGTTTTCAGCTTCATCCATGTCTCTGCAAAGGATATGAACTCAAGAGATGAGATTTTGAAGGAATAAAGAGAGGTACATGAAGAAGGCAGATTTAATTATTATTATTATTACTACTTTGAGACAGGGTCTCATTCTATAGCCCAGGTTGGAGTGCGGCATACAATCACAGCTCATTGAGAGTGTACAATCACACCTCCTGAGCTCAGGTGATCCTCCCACCTCAGCCTTTCAGATAGCTGGGACTACAGGTGCATGCCACCACACCTCGACAATTTTTTGTGGTTTTGCCACATCGCCCAGGCTGTTCCCGAACTCCCAAGTTCAAGCAATCCACTTGTCTTGGCTTCCCGAAGTGCTGGGATTATAGGCATGAGCTATCGTGCTGGGCCCAGAGGGCAGATTTAAGATGAACTTTCCAGGCTGCATAGATAATCATTGGACCAGCTGAGTAAAAAGAGTATACTAATAATAGGGAGTTATATCAGCAGAGGCACAGAGAGATAGAAGTGGTGGGCTGCATATAAGATGACCTTTCGTTTTCACTGCAGTCATATTGGGAGACTAGTTTGATTAGAATGTAAGGAGGGGTAGGGTCGTGGAAGAAATAGGGTTTGGTAGCTAGGCTGAGGACATCTTGTGGAGGTCTTGGGTTCCAGGCTAGTGAGCTCACACTTGATGTAATAGGCAGTGGCATGAGATAGGTGGTGGCAGTGGGACTGGCAAGGAAGAGATGGTGGTGGAAGGTATTCAGAGGTAGAATGGGCATCTGGTTGTGTAAGCTAGAAGTGGGGAGGAAGGTGAGTGAAAGGAAAAGTCACAGATACACCAAGGTTCATGTTTTAAAGTTGAGAAACCTATTATCATTGGGAAACAGAGTGTTTCTCCCCATCACACTGTGTAGAAATTACCTTTATTCACTAAATTACAGTATTTCAATATAAAAAATTTCAATACAGTATCTATAGAGTAATATTATATAATAGTATAACACTATATGAATAGTATATTAACATAACATTAATATTACTATATCACTAAAATGATCTTAATATGCATATTAATATAAGATCATGATTTGTGATTAATGGAGGTCATTTCTGTACTGTACAGTGGAGAGGAAAACCCTGTATCTTAATGAAATGGGCAGAGAAATTAAATCTTCTTATAATAGTATAATATTCTATATAACAATGTTATAAATAATATGTTTCAAATCTACTTTGCTTTTATTATAGTTCTGTGATTACCTGCAAATATGAGGTGAGGTCCAATCATTCCTCTTTTGAGTGAGCACTATATTCCAGAGTTTGATGCCTGTCCTCTGTAACTGGCCAATCCAATCTACTGGATTTTTTTTTTTTTTTTTTTTGAGACAGAGTCTCACTCTGTTGCCCAGGCTGGAGTACAGTGGCTTAATCATGGCTCACTGTGTAGCCTCCATCTTCCAAGCTAAAGTGGTCCTTCTTCCTCCGGTTCTAGAGTAGCTGGATCTACAGGTGTGTGCCACCACGTCTGGCTAATTATTTTGCTATTTTTTTTGTAAAGATGGGGTCTTGCTATGTTGTACAGGTTGGTTTTGAGCTCCTGAACTCAAGTGATCCTCCCTCCTTGGCCTCCCAAAGGGTTGAAATTACAGATGTGAGCCACTGGCACCAACTCTATTTTTAAGACAGGCCGAGTATCAGCTCTGAACTCAGTGTGAGTCAAAATAATAAACATTTATTGTAGAGATCAGACAAGGAGTGTGATGGAAAATTGAGGAGGTTTGGTATTGGTCTGTTTCATTTCCGCTTTTATCAAAACTGAGGATGGAGACAATATATTTTAAACGCATGTTGCTTATACAGTACCCAGCATTCTCATCTGGGTCAGTGAATGTCAAAGGATAATAATAATGTCCCATTAACTTTCAGAGGACATGGGATCAAACCAATAAACAGTAGTTCATACTCTTCCATACAGCAACCTCCTTTTCCAAGCAGGGCCTTCATTAACGTAACAGCTGTCTTAATGTGGCTTTAACCCGGTGACACTTGACATTCCTTATGGCTTCTTTAGTTCCCTTGAGACACATCATGTCTTGCACTATGGCTGTGATCTATAGCCTAACAAATTCCCTAGAACACCCGGCATATGGATCTTTTACTTAACCCAGCAGGAAAAAGAAGGGAGTAGTTAATCACTGATTAAAATGCCAGAAGAAAATCCTTTAGTTTTTAGAGGATCTGGGAAAGCAGTAGCCAAGTCAACTCAGTTTGAGTGATAGCCAGAAATAGTGAGTTAGTTTAATTTGGGGCACCTGGGAAATCCAAACACCAACCCCCACTGAAAACCCCAAACCATGTCTACATTTCGTTTTTTCCCCCTGAGGAAAAATATTTCTACATTCTTCTAAATAGAGATGGGACTAAAATTATAACTTTAGCCTTTGTCAGTGTTTTATAAAAATTCATTTGGGCTGTAGCTATGTTGAGTTTATCTTTTATTTTATTTATTTATTTTTTTAGAGACGGGGTTTCTCCGTGTTGGTCAGGCTGGTCTTGTACTCCCGACCTCAGGTGATCTGCTCACCTTGGCCTCCCAAAGTGCTGAGATTACAGGCATGAGCCACAATGCCTGCCTTGCCTGTGTTGAGTTTATCATAGCCAAATCAGAGTACACAGTGTAAGAACTGTTGTATACCAGTGACTATTGCCTAGTAATAATAACACTACAAGGTTTTTTTTTTTTTTTTTTTTTTAGGACGATTTACCTAATTCATCTGTAATTAGGGTAGCTGTTATGCAAATAATCACAAGCATCAAAGTTTTGTGAGGAGGAATTATTTGCAGATGCCAATTGATTAATTTATTTTTGAGACAGGGTTTCACTGTTGCCTGAGCTCGAGTGCACTGGAATGCAGTGGCGCTATCTCTGCTCACTACGACTTCTGCCTCCTGGGCTCAGATGCTCCTCCCACCTCAGCCTCCTGGGTAGCTGAGAGTACAGGCTTGTGCCACCACACCAGACTAATTTTTGTATTGTAGAGATGAGGTTTCACCATGTTGCCCAGGCTGGTCTGAAACTCCTGGACTCAAGTGATCCTGCTATTTCGGCCTCCCAAAGTACTGAGATTACAGGTGTGGGCCACTGCGGCTGGTCCAAATATTTATGATGTGCAAAAGCTGTAGTAAATATTCCACATAAGAATCCCATGAAGTAGGCAAGTAACATCCTCTTTTACCATGAAGACAACGGAAGACAGAAATAAAAGCTACTTGGGGAAATAGAATTTAACTAGGAGTCAGATGATATGGGATTCGTTCCTAACTGACAAAAGTGTTTTGTTGAGCAAGTTGCTCCTGCTGGAATCTTTCTGGACTTCAGGTTTTTAACTTTTTTAATTTTAAAAATATGGTGTTGGTTAAATCACATGATGCCCCACGGGGATAATCATGGACGGACTTCAGGAGATCTGGGAGATTTGAGATTTGTACACAAAATTTTGTGCATTTGCTTGCGTATGTGCATATATGGCTGTTAACTAGAGAAACAGCCTCTGGCTTTCATTATATGCTCAAATACCTTTCCCCTACACCCAAATTAAAAGC